ATTGGGGATTTTCAGGAGCTCCATCGCTACGCATCTCATCCTTAAAGACTGGGACCTTCCTCCCTCCTGTTGTCGTCCTCCACCATGACCACCAGATTGATTTCTCGAAGCCAATTGGCTTCGATTGCCGTCATGGCTTGTTCACCGGATCTTTGCCTGCTTCCACCATTAACGACTTCTTGTCCGTTATAGTTGGATGCTTTCTTTAAATGGGCTGTTAAAATTGTATTTTTCTGTTTGGGCCTCTGGGCTCCTTTGCTCCCCATTGTTTGGGCTTGTTTTAGCCAAAGACCTCCTATGTACAGTGCTTTTTCAATTATAATATTAGCTTCAACTTTCGAAAAAATAAAATAAAAAAAAAAATCTTTATTTTTCTTAAATAAAATAGATCGATAATAATATAAGATTAAATAACCAGATTTAAACAAGAGTTGAACAGACTTACAGAAAACTTTCTTTATTAAACTTCCAAGCTAATATAGAGAAATATTACAAAAGAGAGAAAAGGAAATTGAAAGATACATTGATGGGAAACTTTGCCCTCTATTTATACATAAAATGGACTTGAAATTATCATTTTGAAGTCCGCATAGTGCATGGGATCGTGTGCTGAAATATTGTAGTTGGTCGGCCCACCACTAAGTTCTGTCTCCTTATCGGATGGAAAGTAGATATCTGATGAAGGACATACTGTAGAACCAAAGACTTTTGGGAAAAAGTTCTTTGGCTGCTTCTGTCGGCAGGATAAGAGGAATCTTTACTTTTTGGGTGGATTCATCTTGTCCATCAAGTGACTGGTGAGAGAGTCCCAATAGTCTGCTACTGTAGGCTCATCTTCAGAAATAAGATCTTTATTGGGATCTTGTGCATAACCGGCTAGACAGGAAAACTGATTACCGTCTTGACTGGTCTGGCTAGAGACTGACACCATGGATGCGTCATCTCGTACTGTAGGAGTAGAGGAATCAAAGGATTTAACAACAATTATACTAATGTTTGCTTACAAACGATAGGGTCCCAGCTTAGGAGAATTGAAACGGGAATTGACACGGTATTAAATACAATTAATACTAAGTGTATTACTGTTAAAACTTCTCCTCCAGAAGCTTCCTTATCCAAAGCATTGGTGAAACCTGCAATTGAAGTTCAAGGCTTCAATCTGACACATCCTAAGAAGAATGAAGAATTTCTTACTCTTCTTACTCAGAAAATTCAAGGACTCAAAATTCAGACTCTATCCCATGATGAATCTGAAATTGGTTCTGATTCTGAGAATGTGTTACCTCATATTGAGGTATTCCAAAATGATTTTACTCAGATGCCTTAGTTTAGGAGCAGAAACCACTAAACCACTACGGCAAATGACATCTTTGAAAATTTTCAAGTGTTTATAATGCTGATCTATGGATTTTGAAAATATGAGAATATCATCAATATAAACAATAGAAAATTCAGTAAAAGGATTAAATATGTCATTCAAAATATGTTGAAATTCTGAAGGGGTATTTTTTAATCCAAATGGCATCATTGTCCATTCATACTGTCCAAAAGGTACACAAAAAGCTGTTTTGTACCTGTCTTCTTCTGCAATCTGTACCTGGTAATATCCAGATTTAAGATCAAATTTAGAAAAGATTACAGTAGATTGTAACCTATCTAAAAGATCTTTGATGTTGGGAATTGGATACCGGATCCAACTCAAAGCAAGATTGAGTGGCCGATAATCAATAACCAATCGAGGAATTCCTCGTTCTTTTTCAGCATTTTTATTAACATAAAAAGCTCTGCAACTCCAGGGGGAGTAGCTAGTAGTGACAAGCTTTTTAGCCATTAAAGAGCTGATTTCAGTTTTACATAATTCCAAGTAGTCAGCTTTCATGTGGCTGGGACTAGTTTTAGAAGGAATCATGCGATCGGTAAATCCCTTTTCATAGGGTAAATAAACAATATGCTTCTTTCTGGCCCAAAAAGCATTAGGAATTTCACTACAGATTTCCTTTAGAAAGTTTTGTCGTAGTGACTCAATTTTCCGTTGCTCAGTGGGTTGTACCAATCTTTGATTAATTGCTAAGGAGGATACCTCCTTTTGCAAATAATTCAGTTGCTTTTCCTTAAAGATAATGTTATCTTTAAGAGCATTAATATGCTTGTTTACTGGTGGGGTCAAGAACTGGAAAGTAATTGACTGGCCATGTAAATTAGAGCATATTCCATGAGAATCAATTTTCCCAATTGGCATAATCAAAGCTAAAAAGGGGGTGCCCAAAATAACTTGTTGTGCCATATTCCTGATGAGTAAGAAGGTAGATGGTAAACAAACTCCTTCTTTACAAATGAAAACATGATTAAGTTTATACTTAATCTGCATCTTACCTCCACTTGCACTGGTAAGACCTTGAGTGGTTTTCTCAAAGTATTGAGTAGGAACCAATCCTTCCTGTATGCAGTTCATGTCTGCACCACTATCAACTAAGGCAATTGCATTAGTGATTGTGTACTCCTGATTAATTACCAAATTGATAGATATATACCATTTTTGGTAAACAACTTGATTCAAGAGTTGGAGATAATTAGTACCTTCTGATTGAGGGACTTCATCATTGGATGATGAAGATGGAATTGCAGATTTTGCTTTTAAAAGTGTAATTTCCAAATCCATCTTAGTCTGACGAGACTTTAATTGACGAATTTCTTCTTTTAAAAGATTAATCTCCATTCTGAGATCAGGGAGATTAGCAGGACGAGAATTTTGTCCTTGGTGTTCTAATCTGCTTAGAACTTCTTTCATGCTGTAATGATTTTCTGCTCTCAGAAAATCTGGATTATCTGTATCCTCATTAGATCGTGCCAGAGCAGAACCTATTTCAAAGACTTTCATCTTGATTTGAGAATCCTGGATATGATCTATAAAATCCAATAAGGATTGTTGAGTCGAAGTCAAAACATTTAAGCTTAACCCATTCATCTCAACAATTGCCTTATAATAATCATCATGCGAGGGATTACAGGAACATCTAGGGTTTTCAATCTCTGCTTCAGAGGAAGAAGAAGACTGTAATTCCATGACAACATCCCCATAATCACTTGATGATTCTGATTCAGAAGAACTAGTATTAAGTAACAATTTACTTAATTGAAGTCTCAGTTCTTCTTCGATATGAAGACTACTAAGTTTCTCCTTAGTTCTGCACTTGTTTGCATAGTGGCCGATACGTCCACATTTGAAACATTTAGCCTCAGCTTTGGGTTTTCCTTTACCCTTTGCTTTAGGAATATATTTCCTTTTAGGCTTAGTATACTGTTTAGAATTATCCTTTTCCTTTGAATAATTCTTTCTTTTAGAATACTTCCTTTTATAAGGTTTTTCAACCTTATTTCTTTTCCTAGGTTTAGGATAAGATAAGGGAGTCTGATAGGCAAATTGATCACAAAATTCACCTACTTCCTTTCGACCAGTTAATCTTTGTGATTTTAACTGGGATTGTAATTTCAGATCATTACAGAGAGCTAGACCTTCCTGGATGACAATGAAATGGGATTTCCAATGTGGTTATACCACTGATAAGTTACCAGTCCTCCAGAGGATCTTTTATTACCGATGGTGGTCAGGCATGACTCAAGAACCTATCCAAGCCCTCCTCCATCAGATCAGAAAGAAAACACTGGAATACATGGATAAGATTCCAAAGTTAACTATTCCAGAACCCGAAATCTTTAACCCATTTGAACTTGTTAAAGATATGATCAGAAAACAACAACCATTAATTACCGAAGCTGATTTAATGGTTAAATGCATGAATTTTATGAGGACCAAATTTATTTAAGATAGAAAGGACTTGAGCTCATACAATTGTAAAGGAATAAAATATTACAATTTGAAGTTTTAGTTCCTAAAAATGATTTTAGTATTCTATAGACTACTAACGTTTACGGTATTTTGTTTAGATGGTTCCAGTGAGTCACCAAAAGAGCACTGTGTGAGTTATTTTTTAGGACAAAAGAAAGCTTTCTTGACTTTAATAATTAATGCCTTTAAAATAAGTTTTTATGTTGATTATTATTCTATTCTTAATATTTTTAACTGTCTTTTTTTTTCTAATTTAAAATTTAAGGTTGATTTTGAAATGGGACGGGTTGGGCACATGAAAATTGGAACAAAACTAAGACTGCATGAACGATTGGAATCAAACCTAACCCAACAGTTCTGGGCTTTTTGATATTTTGAATTTTTTATATTTAATTTTTTTTTTTCTCAAACTAATTAAACTTCTGTATGTCATGTAAATTATATTCCACATTCTACATTAGAATTTATGAAATTTATTTTATATATGTATATATATTAATTAATAATTTGGTTCCATCCTGTTAGACCCCAATTCAAGAACCAACTAGTTAACTAATGGTTCCTTATTTTTAAAATTGAAATATGGGATGACAATAGGGCGAGAGCCCCTTCTCCATTCATCTTTGTCTTCGTTTAACAAAATAAAATTTGTCTATGTCCAAAATTGTTTATTTTTAATTTTTCCTATATTTAGAAAAGACTTAAGTTCATACAATAGTAAAGGAATAAAATATTACAATTTTGGAGTTTTAGTTTATAAAAAAGGCGTCTTAGTATTTTATATATATATATATATATTAATGGCAAAAAATATACACTACACTTACAGACACATTTTGTTTATTTGAGAACTCAAACAGGAGGTAGAATAGATATTACAATGTCACAAGACCTTTGGTGCATTTTAGTACTAAATTATATTGACCACTAAAATCTATGGTTAAGTGGTATTTTGTTTAGATGGTTATTATGAGAACAAAGAAAGCTTTCTTGACTTTGATAATTAATGCTTTTAAAATAATTTTTTATGTTGGTTATTATTCTATTCTTAATTTTTTTTAACTGAGTTTCTTTTTTTAATTTAAAGTTTAAACTAGTTTTAGAAAATAAATTTGAGTTAAAAGTGGATCTCGAAATAAAATAATTGCGAAGGTAAAAATAAAAATTACTTGCTAATTGAACCATCAATCATCCCACAATAAGTCAATAACAATTATTTATATTATTGTTTGTTAGGTGAAAGAAATATTAAAAATATATATATATAGAAGAAAAAAAGAATAACATTTTTTTTTTATTTTCTCACCTAGAATAACATTCGAAAAAAAAAAAACCTAGAATAACATTAATTACCAGAGGAAATAAAAGAAAATGAAGCAGAGCAACAAAATTAGTCCCACGGCGGCCTGAAGTCCCATCAGCGGTGAGATGTTACCATGTAACACTGAAGATCCGGTGGGGTTATTTGGGTGCTGCGGCATAAATCCAGGGTGTTGAACGATTGGTAACATTGCCGATGGACCAATGTAATTAGCCAATTCCTTCTTCGCATTGTATACATCTATCTTAACTTCTTTTAGTCTGTGTTCGAGCACCGAAATCAGACCCACACAACCATAAACCGGATCGCGAAGCCGAGTCTCGGCTTCGTATGCAAGCGAATTCACTGCGTCTTCTCGCTCCCCAGCTTTGAGTTCGCCCAGAAGTTTTGCAACGTTACTGACGCCGAACACCTTATGAACGTTTGCGAACTTCTGAGACTGGTTCGCTGGAAAATACGGTGCAAACACACACTCCTGCTTGCATTTCCGGCGAAGAAACTTGCACGCCGCGCACGGAGACTCCGATGACCACATTGTTCTATTTTTTCCTTTAAACTGTCACAAATTTGAAATGAGTGTTACGTTGCATATATATATATATATATATATAAAAGATATTAATATACATATACTACGTATATACGTATATGTATATAGGGGGATTCAGCGAAGTTTTATTTACTCCATATTGATTTTTGAATAGCAGGTCGCCATTACAAGCTTCAAATATCGAAGCGATTACACAGAATCAAACAGTGAAGAAAGTGAGGAAGCAATTGAAGCTGTTCTATATATAAGGAAATGATAGAAACAAATTATCTAAAATAGAAATTGATTATAATATGACAGCAAACAAACACGACTTTAAATAACGTATGTGTCAGAGAATATATGATAGTGAAGAAACCAATAATCGGAAAAATAAACTAAATGATTTTCAGAAATGTGCTAAACCTACATAAGAAACTGTTCGTTTACCGTTCTAGATCAGTTTATAAATATTGATTTCCAAAAAGGAAAATAACAAAAATCGAATCAAAACGTAAGAATTTTTCTTATCTAACCAAACTCCTCTCACCTCACACTATTATCTCAAAAAAACCAGAATCGCAGTGTAAAATTAACCTCTCTCTACTCTCTCTCTCTAAAACTCCTCATGTCACATGCTAGAAACAAATCGTCGCCATGTTTCAAAGTGTTGGAAAATGGCTTGAGATTCGAACCTTTGTAATCGTGGGAGAGAGATGACTCTGTGGGTCTAGTCTTCAAGTGCTAGAGCGCTTGATCCGATCTTCTAGCTTACAATCCCAACAGAAATGAAAATTTAATTTAGGATGGTAGAGAGAGAAAGTGTGAGAAAAATAACAGAATCGCAGAAGAAAAGGGAAGAGGGAGTTATTACTGTGGCGTCGACGTCATATATGATATATGTGTACATGTATATAATTAATTATTATTAATTATTATATTAAATAATAATTAATATATGTGTACATGTATATAATTAATTATTATATTATATTAATATATAATTAATTTTTATATTAAATAATAATTAATTTTTATATTAAATAAAGTATAAAAGTTAAATGAGTGATTGAAGAAACAAGACAGCGCCCTGTCACGGGCTTAGAGTTTCAGTACCACTCTAGCTACTCCCGTGCAGTACCAAGACGTTACTTCTACTCTTGCAAGTGCTTGGTCAGCCTAACTCCCGCGCACATCTTAGCTAACACACTCCCCTTGTGCGCTTACTAGTGTTGTAGTGGCCCTCGCCTCTCTCCTCACTTGGCTTGCACACTCACACACACTAAAGCACTTAAGTTGGTAAGGAAAGAACACTTCTATTACTTCAAAGAATGCTTTGTACAAGGCTAGCACTCAAACTCTCTACCAGGCTCTCAAGACTCACTCTAGGACTTGTTGCCTACAAAATGAAGCCCTACCTTTATTTATAGGCATCCCCATCCCTAATGAATGGCTAGGATGCATTCTAACCAACGGTGGAGATCGATTATCTAGAATCTTCTCCCACCTTCTTCACACTTCCATACTTATCTACAAGTATTTACAATATTCTAGAACTCTCCATACTACTCCACACAATACTGGAGAACTCTAGAATATACTACACATATCTAGAATCTTCCACACAACTCTAGACAACTCCGGAAGACTCTAGAAACTCCATTCGCCATGCAGTTGCCATGCAGCGTCCTCCTCAGCGTCTGCGTGTCGCCTGCGTGGCACAACCTCCATAGGCGGGGCGTGACATTCTCCCCCACCCATTTCTGTGACACCCTTGTCACGGTTTCTTCAGCTGACCCAGCCTCTCGTAGGTCATCAGCACTTGCGCATATGTCCTTAGCCCAAACGTACGAGTGCCCTTCGGGAGATATGAGGTCCTCACGAGCTCCATCGTGTTCACTGCCACCTCTGGACTCTTCTTCCTGCCCACGAGCGGCACCATGCATGCTGCCTTACCTTCTTCACCTCCAAGTATCATCAACTGTGATACCCCTCAATTCTAGCGCCACGGGTGATCAAGTTCGAGCACAGATCCGAGGGATACCAAATAATTAATATGTAAACAAGCAGAAAATAAAAACAGAGTTAAAAAAAACTTAATAATAATACGCTGGAAGAAAACTAAAATAAGAATCCTCAGACTTGAATTAATAAATTAATATAATTTTAAACCGTACAACTCGGGAATCCACCTAGTGGACCCCTAATCCCAAAACCTTGAATAAATTTACATAATTAAAAAACCAAAATTAAAGTAGAAAGGAAATCCTATGTAATCGGAAGAGTGAGTGTCTGTATCTGCATCAACACGATCAAGCTCTAAGCCTGGTACTGTCCAACACCTGAAAAATAATAGAGTGGGTCAGGCCCACATGCAAGTCCTGATCTATTACGATCCAAACAGTAATCCGATACGCAGATACATCCTAGAAAGACTCAACAATATCTAGAGTAGTCCATATATGTATATATAGTACACACTATAGGACGCTCGCTAGTCCAGTAAGTCTGTCTCAGCCTGAACAGAAGGTAACATGCAAATACGCATCATAAGGTGGGCATGAATACCTAGACCTACCAGGGGACAACACCTATGTCCAGTTATTCATCCTAGGCGATATACGCCCCCTAACCATGGTCCTGAGACTCAGGCTCATACCATGGCATATATAATAAATATATAAAGTCTGTACTCCTCCTAATACAGAATATCATTCATCTGTGTAGTGGTCTGATATCTGTATAAAAATAAATCCATTTTAAAACCATAGTAATCATTCAATTCACAATTGATATGACACATGTAGGTGATAGACTTAACCTTTATGGTTAATCCATACCTGAATCCAAATTGGGTCGGACTTAGTGTTTTGAACTAATCCATTCCCAACATAGGTAGGTCTTAGTGTTTTGAACTAAGCCATCCCTAATATGACACCGTCCCATACCGGTTCATATACATCCATATAAGTGGGACTTAACCTTTTTATGGTTAATCCAACTCATTCAAAATTAGGTAGGATTAGTGTTTTAACTAATCATACCTAGTATGTCACCGTCCCATACCGGTACATACAATCCTCCAGTTAACACAGTTGACAGAAATAGTAGAATTAACTATCAACGCATTCCAAAATAATCATAAGTATAGTTTAACATGTGTGTCACTAAACCATGTCTCCACTGAAAATTCAAAATCCAAGTTTCAGTCTATTAAATTGATAAAACAGGTTTATGCAATTTTGCTTATCCAAACAGTACCCTGACTGATGCACTTTATGTACAGATTTAAGCATCAGTTTAACCTAACTAAGCATACACATTATTGAATAAAAACATGCTTAAAACACAGTTGTAAAGCATAATCCAAAACTTAAGACCATGCAAAAGCATCAAATCTCCTCCAAACAGTGTCCTAACAGAGATATACAACAGATTTAATTGTCCGTTAATTCCAACCAAGCATACCTATAATTCAATAACAGAATGCTTAAACCTTAGCTACACAACATAATTTAAAACTTAGGGTCGTGTACAGGCATCAGATTTCTAAAACAGTCTGTACTTCAAATCAGTGGTTTAATCTTTCACATACAGCCCTTGTTTAAACTTAGGTTAATTCTATCCTTTATTCTAGAATATAAGCTTGCTTCTCCATTATTTTATAAGTCTTAAGCAGTATATTACATCATTCAATAGCCTTTAAATAGTTTTAGAAACTCAGATTTAACCAACCAGACCATTTAAAACTCAGTATACATGATATTTAAGAGAAAGAGAAAGCTCTGTGTTTCAAAGAGCCTTCTCCAAAAAAAAGTAGAGCCTTCTCCACTCAAGTAGAGCCTTCTCCAAATAAGTAGAGCCTTCTCCAAATAAGTAGAGCCTTTTCCACTTTAAGTATACGTCTGTTCTTTTTCTGTTGTCTTCTCCGACTCCGGTGGTTTCCAGTCATTGAACTTAGTTTTATTTTAGGTTTTAAGATCCCATCCACATCCAAAGTAATCACAAGACAGAGTTATATAAACAAGAATTTAATTAAACATAAGTTTGTAATGCAACGACAATCAGTTTGCAATCTACCGCTTTCCTTAGATTTATTTTGCTCCATTCTTATGCTTAATCACGGATTAATGTTTTCCATAGTATAACGGATTTATTCCAGACCCAACAACAATTTAAAACAGCCTAAACAAAGTTCCAAGAACCTATACAGACCAAACAGTGCACAGAAACAAAATTTGGTGCGTTCAATTGAGAGCAGGCTCATTCAAAACAAAGAGCCTGCTCTATTTTTTCAAAAGAGCCTGCTCAACTAATCTAGGAGCCGGCTCCTAGATGCTAGAGCCGGCTCCACCTTCCTTTGGAGCCGGCTTTAAGGTAGAAAGAGCCGGTTCCTCCTCTTCTTGGAGCCTGCTCTTCTCCCCTTAGTGTCGTCGTCCGTTCTGCTGCTTCTTCTTCGACTGCGGTGTTTTCCAGACCTCTGTAAGGTTCTTAATGGTTGTTCTAGGGTTCAATCTTAGTTCTAGGGTACTCTTAACCCACTGTTATGCAACCACGATCTGAACTAGACACAAGTCTTACGGCAACGATTACATAACTTCTGATAGCAACTTTAGACAACTTACAACAGATTTATTTAGTAAAACTCAAAACTGTTTTAAAATCTTGTTTTAGGGATTAAACTCATTCTCAGAATAATTGTAAGGCATCCAATCTTATTACTAATCTCATTAAAACAGGCTTAAACATAAAAGACACAGATAGCAGAAAATCAACCAGTATGCAAAACAGTTAACTCACTGAGATCAAATAAATTCATATCTGCATGGAAAACATGTTATTATGTTTGTGTCAATCCATTTTATCTTTTATTAAAACCCTGAAGTCTAACCAGGCATGCACAGAACACGAATTAAGGGGAAAGAATAGAACAGAGACTTGCCTGCAATTTCAGAGTTTGAAACTATAAATCACCGTCTCTGTAATATGTTTGGTTCCTAAATCGC